ACAACATTCACCAGTGAATATGCATTCATAAATTTGTAAACCCAGATTGGTTGCTTCAAGATATCTGCAAGTTGGAAACTTAATTCTAAGCAGAGGTAAAATTCCCCATGTTGTGAGTCAGTAAGATTTCACTAAACAAATTTAGAGTCCTGTGGCACCTTTAAGACCAACAAAGGTTTATTCAAGGTATGAACTTTTGTGTGCATGGACACTTTTTCAAATATTTGAAAAAATGAGCACGCGCACATGAAAGCTCATACCTTGAATAAGCCTTTGTTGGTCTTAAAAGTGCCACTGGACTCTAAATTTGTTCTACTGCTTCAGACCAACACGGATGACCATCAAGATTTCACTGAAGAAATGTCCGTTCAGGTTAAATAAGACTGCAGTGTCCCTGCAGGGCTCTTTTTGTAGCAGGAACTCCTTTGCATATTAGGCGACACACCCCTAATGTAACCAATCCTCCAACAGCTTACAGAGCTCTTCTTACAGGGGCTACTGTAAGCTCTTGAGGGATTGACTACATTAGGGGTGTGTCGCCTAATATGCAAAGGAGTTCCTGCTACAAAAAGAACCCTTTAGTCTTAATAGTAGCTGCTGTTAGAGAATATTTGATGGGTTATTCAGTATTTTTCTGGTTTCATGCTGAGAAATGATGGTGATCCGTGTTGCCTCTAAGCTGAGTTAGTGTGAGCTAGCTCACAGTTTTTTAGCCTTTGGCTCACACATTTTTGTCTTAGCTCAGGAAGGATGGCTCCAGAGCAAACTAATGTATGCAGTAGCCAAATTGCTCGCTCACAACTTTAATGCCAGTAGCTCACAAAGTAGAATTTTTGCTCACAAGACACCACACCTTAGACGGAACATTGATGGTGATGGTTTTCTTTCTGGAAAGATTGCAATGCACTTGCAAGTGGTTAACTCTGGGATTGTCTCTGTGTTTTTCCAAAATTGTAGGGAATCCAGCACTCAAGACACAATTCAAGATTTGCTGGTTAAATGTAATGTTCCCTTCTCAACAGTGACACAGTTGTGGTGTCCCTTATATGCCAGTGTCATCAGCAGTGACAGACTGTATAATTCTGTATCAGCTATAGCCACACTTTTTGCATTGTTTTTGAAAGTTAATTTTTAATTATGTTTCTAGCTACTTCCATGCTGAATGCTTCTCTGCTGTTCCACTTTTGAGCAAGTCTTCCCCTTTTTTTGCAGCCATGGCATGAGTTTCTTTTCTAGTATTTGGAGAATGGGGGAAAGTTGTGCAGATCCCTACTCTGGCACAGGAATTCCCCTTTTCATTTTTCACCTCAGAAAAGCTGAATATAGAAAATTCATCTTTTCAGGATGTCCACCTCCAAGCTTTGTAGCCCTACTTGTGGGCATAGGAAAAGGGCTAGTAAAAGTATAGCACTGTGAAATGTAGTTCTTCCTACCTGTGCAAACCACAAAAGACATATATTTATATGTGCCATAATTTACTAATTGTACTGTAATTGCGCACAGAATTCAGCATCCTACGATTATCAACTTTTAAGCTTCCCATTGCTACAAATGTATGTCTGCACATACAGAAGAAATGTCTCACTGAATCTCAGTTAGTGGGACTGAGCAGAATTCAGGGATCTTTGCCCTCCTTTCAATTGGAAAAAAAATATGTCACTGAATTCCGTTTGTCCTAGTCAAAGTTTCAGTGTTCCCTTTGATGTAGAATACATCTTTAATATGATCTCTGAAAAATAATCTAAAGGAATAAAAAAAGAGTGATCAGAAGGAATCGTTTTTTCAAGGGCTTTAATATATTCCAGTGTATCTCAATATAGTTGCAATACAAAAATCCTAAAAATCTCTTTCTCCCTAACCATTAGTTCCAAGTGCCGTACCACTTGAGTCTATTCAAGGAAGTACTTTTGAGGAGAAGATTTTCCTTCAGTGGAGAGAGCCAGTACAAACATATGGTGTAATAACATTATATGAGGTACGTTAACTAACACTTTTTTGTTTTCTTTCATCCTTGATTTAAAATATTGATGTGTCATAAAGTATATTTTCTTGTATATCTTACACTTTAATGTAAGATAGATTTTTGTATATATCAAAACCCAGCCTAAAACCGATGTTCATACTGGGAAACATAAACAAATTTTATGCCTTACTTTTATATTGTGTGTCTTTTCTTCCTTACTTTTTGTTCCCCCCATAATTTATAATAAGAAACTCTGCATTTTACTAAACATGTTTAATATTACCTGCTGTAGTTATATAGTTCAGTAACTTTGAGGCCTTTTCTATTTTGGCAGAGAAATCCCTCACGTAACCAAATGCTCCTGTCCTCTGTCTGGTAGTGTATTAGTTCATGAATTTGAGAGGACTAACACCCATGCCACTCTGCCTTGTCACCAGGCAAACATAATAAGCAAAGAGGCCAGAGAATGATTTAAAGACATTGTGATTCACTGGGTGTTAGCCACCTGTGACTTAAATAATTGATGCTGTTTACATCTGCCTCTGGCATACTATGGAAGCACCTTTGCCCTCTCCTCTGCCTTGGTATTTAACCCATTATAACCTTCTCTGCTTGTTTATACCAAGAATTAATCCAGGGGTAAACAAGAGCAGAACTTTCTTTCCCTTTAGAGAAAGAAAGGTTTTGGTTTTGACAAAACAAAAACCCACAAAAAAACCCACTGATGGACCTCCTGATGGCACCTGGTATTTTTGGCCACTGTGTGACAGAGTGTTGGACTACATGGGCCATTGGCCTGATCCAACATTGGTTTATCTTATGTTCTTATGTTCAATACAATTATAGCTGGGTGTGAGACTTAACTGGAAAAAAATAGTTTCACTATAACAGAAGATGTTACAGACACTGAGAAGGATCCAGCCAGAAAATGCTAGTCTACCATATGAGGGTAAAACATCTCCCTCTGATGCAGTGAGTTACCATGGGACCTGAGGAGCTAGCTGTCTTGCAGAATCATGACTTTATTGGGAGAGGACTAAATCAAATCTAATCACATGAATGAAGGGATTGGTGATAAAAGAGGTGAAAGGCTCTGTATCCTCTTGAGGGGGCATAGCTCATCTATAGAGCATCAGCTTGGCATACAGAAGGTTCCAGGTTCAGTCCCCGGGATCTCCAATTGAAAGGATCAGGTAGCAAGTTGAAAGCACAGCTGAGTTTTCCACAGAAAAATTGATGTTCTGGATGCTTGAGGAGTAAGTTCACAACGAGGCGGTGGCACAGTGGGTATATCCCACTGTCTTAACATCTAAAATGTGTTGGTTCAAGCCCCATGCTGGTGTGAGCAGCCAGCCTGTTGTCCCCAGCTCATCGTCCACCCAGCGATTCGAAAGCTTCAGCGAGTATATAAAATGGGAACCACTCCTTAGAGAGAGTGGGCACGCCAGTCTCCCTTGTGGGAGGGTGTTAGCTGACGGTCGGACATCCTGGTTGAGGCTTGGAAGGCGAAACAGCTTCTCAGCTATGAAAGAATCCCTGCAATGGATGTTCTGGCCAGGCAGTGGCAGTGAGGCGATTGACATACGGGTCTTGAAGCCTGGCCAACAAGCAGCCCTGCGGAAAACGACAGAGCCAAGCCAGAAGACGTCTATACCGGGCAGTGACGGCGCATGCAATTAAAAATGAATATATGTTGTCTTCCCTATCCCCTACAAACATTGTTAGTCCCTTGTCTATACTGAGTAACTGTACATTGCTTTGAGCCCACTGGGGAAAGCGATTAATAAATGGAAATTATTATTATTATTATTATTATTATTATTATTATTATTATTATTCAGAAAAGAAACAGAAGTTCATTATTTTACGACAGTAAGTGCTTCCGGGTAAGCTAGGATGGAGAGAGATTGCAGAAAGCATGTCCAGCCCTCATGGTGGACAACGTTGGAAGTGGAGGAGTGTACACTGCCCCCTGCCTCAGCCTTCAGAGACAGCACCATATATTTAGAGATAGATAAGGAGGTCAGGATACACACAGAGCACCATTCACTTCCTGCTGTCTGATACTGTCCTTTGAAATAGAATGCTATTCTTAGAAACAAGACTTCCTTCCAACTTGACACTTTCTCTCATACACACACAAAGAAGGACCACATGCTCTCCATCTTTGCCACCACGGATGCAGGACAGGCATTCTCCATCCACATCAATCTAGCTAGTTAGATTAGATTCTATCTCAGTTTTTCAACCTATACTATCTAAAATATAGTTCCTTGAATAAAGGATTCTTATTAGTTTGAAACTGACAAGTGGCTTTGTGTAATTTTGTAACTTTGCTAGCACACACAGTACCAAGAAGCTTCTGCTGTGTGTAGCCTAGTGCACTCTACTACGTATAGATCAGAGGTGTCGAACTCATTTGTTACGAGGGCCGGAGCTGACATAAATGTCACTTTGTTGGGCAGGGCCATGTGTGCCATAAAATGTAATGCCAGGTACCGGAGATATAAACTGTAAGGACAGCAGCTGGTAAGCTCCGAATTGGGGTATCCTCACTGCAAGACCTCATGGGCTGGCAGGGGGGTACAAAGGAGTACAAAGGCAGACTGGACAGCCAGCAGTGCAGCACTGGGCAGATGCTCCTACAGTGTTTGACGGCTGCAGACAAGGTTATTCTGCCATGCTGAAGCCACAATCGCAGTGGCTCTGCCCATTCTCCAGTGGTCCAGGAGTGGGGCAGTCCTTCAGACTCCTTAACTCCTGGGAAGCTCCTCCCACCTCCAAAGGAAGGGCTGGCAGACTCTTCAGGCACGGAGGTGGAGGGGCTTGTCCCCTGGAACCCAGTCTCTCCAGCCCTGCCTTCTGAGCAGGACATGGTGGCACAGAGCACAGAAAGAAGAAGGCACGGAAGACTGCAGAGGGGGGTAGCATGTAGTGATTCGGCTCCCGGGCTGCCCAACCCCTGCGTTCCCTCTCTTCGTCAATTCGAGCCGCTGAGAGAAGAGCAGCTTGCGAAAGGCACTAACAGACCTGGGCAACCCCTGGGGAACCACAGCACCACTGAGACCTCTGTTGTGCCGCCAGGTTTGGAAAGGGACTGGCGTGCCACATCTTCACTCTCTTCCCACAGGGAGCGTCAGAGACAGCGGCGGGGTCTCCAACGGCGGCATGGCCTCAGGCACCGCTTCCTTGCAGCTGGTTCCCTGTCCTAGACATGGCGTGGGAGACCAGGAGAAGTGCCCAGCAATGGTGCGGTAGGCAAGAGAAATCCCGATGGAGGGTCTTCTTTTTCTCCGCGGCATCACCTCCCTTTTCACCCTAGGTAGTGGATTGAATGGGTGGCTGGGACTACTGCAGCACACTGGGAATACAGGCAGTGAAGAGCTGGCCCTCTTCCCTCATCTACTCTTCTCCTCCTCCCCCCCAACTACGGAGTCAAGGGAGTGTGGGGGACTAAAGGTCTGCTTATTGCCTGGGCTGAATCTGTGCCCTGGGTAGGCAAATAGGAGTAGTTACCGTGTTAGGAGGGAGGTCAGATGGGAACGGCCATTTTTAGTGTCCCCTTCCTTTCCTACTTTCACTTCTAGGCAAGGCCAAAATGGCTGACAAAGCTTCCACCTCTCAGAAGATGGAGACCTGCACCTTTGAACTGGCCGAGTCCCCAAAGTCTCCTCTCACCCAAGCACAAGAATTCCCAGTGGGGGTAGAGAACCCAGGTGCCCTTCTATCTTGGCTGCGTACAGAGATGAGGAAGGAATTTAGGGCCATGTGCCAGGAGTCCCAAGAGCACTCCACCACTCACCAGCCCTGTAAGAGACACAACCCTATGGATAGGGAGTCTGAAGTTCCTGATAGGAAAAGAAGTAAGACTGCTGTGTCCACAAGGAAGCATAGCCCCTTATTAGAGGGACAATACTCTGATTCATCATCTACTACCTCTGAATCACCCAAAGAAGAGGGAGAGCTTTCAGAGGAAGAGGGTGGTACCTGCATCTCAGGTCAGCTTTTTCCTCAGGACCTATACAGTAGGTTACTCCCTAAAGTCATCAGGACACTGGAGTTGACCTATACCCCCAAGGAGACAGGAAGAAGACTCAGTCTTTCGGTCGGTTCAGATAGAGCCATACCTAAACCTAGCACCAAAGCTGTAGGAGTCCCTCTTCCTGCATCTTTCTACAAAATAATGAAAGCGAAGTGGGAAAACTCAGCCAAACCTAAAGCGGCCCACCCTGTTTTTGGAAAGCTTTACTCATTAATCCCTGAAGCGTCAAAAAAGCTGAAACTACCGGTAGTGGATGACCCAATCAATAGTCTGGCTTCCACTTCGGTCCTCCCCATGGAGGCCGATGGCCTTCCAAAGGAGACTAGTGATAAGTGCATAGAACAAGCACTGCGTAGAGACTTTGAGGCTTCTGCCAACTCACTAATAGTTTCTGTTACAGGCTCCCTATTTGCCAGGGCAGCCTATACGTGGTCATCTGATCTTGCCAAGGCAGACAGTGGAGTTCCTAAGGAATTGAAGGATGAGCTTAAGAAGATCGCGTTGGCCACGGCCTTGGCTGCAGATGCAACACTGGATGCAATGCAACAGTCTGCAAGGAGCATGGCATGAAGTATTACAGCACGACGGAATACTTGACTTAGAAGCTGGGATGTAGAACCTTCCGCACGCGCAAAGGTGGCGGTGGTCCCCTTTAAAGGTTCCAAACTATTTGGAAAAGACTTGGATCATTATCTCATCAAAGATAAAGATAAGAAGAAGGTACTCCCTTCAAAAAAGAGGGAGGAGAAAGCAAGGCGGTACCAACAGTCCTTTCGTGACTCAAGGAAAGATACGAAGGCTGGAAATAGTAGATCATACAAAGGAAGATGGCAACTCAAGTACAAAGAGGGAAAATCCTCCAGCTTTCCTGCAAAGCAATCCACCAATGGAAAGTCAGCCAAGAAAGGATCCCAGGCATGACTCTGCTGGGATGGAAATTACAAGTGGAGTCGGGGGCCGTCTTCTGAAT